CCAAGCCCAGAGTTTTAGTCTTAGTTTTGTGAACATTAAGGGGTGACCGTCGTATCTCCCGTGGAGGCACAAAATGTGGAGCTTTAATGTTTAAAAGTGTCACGGGTGCTTGCAGTCGCTCTTCCTTCTCATGTTTTCAGTCGGAGCTCGATGAGGGGATTTGAAATGGGAATGAATCGTGAACAGATCTGTATTTCAGGAGGGAAAAAAGGCCTTATGGACAAATACAAATTAGCTGCCGACCATTATCGTCTAAGCAGCACACCTCTCCTTGCATCCAAAATTTAAGTAGAATTCTCCAAAAACGGTTCCTTTTCCTAGAGTCTTATTCTGCCGAATCAGTGTGATTGGGACATATGGGGCTGACACCTCTTACTCCTTGGCCCTGGTCCTAAAGACTCATCCTGTCTGCTCACACTTGACTCTCCTCACATTCACCTCAACAGGCCTGCTAGTCTCCAAACTGGTCTCCCAACTGTGGTCCTCCAAGCACAGCCAAGTCCAGTAGCCTATCTCACCTGCCTAGGACCTACTTAACCTGAATAGTTGGGAAAACTCCCCCAGGCACGTCCAAGGCCTTCAGAGGTGCACGGGTTTGTAGATCACTACTTTGAATTCTTGCTACAGACAGGAGAGTTTCAGGTTCGAATCACCGAATGTCAGGATCTAGCCCTGACCCACATCTGAAGAGCATCAGGTGACTGTCAGGCTTGTGTTTGAAGAGTGCTGAACGACAGGACCTTCTGACCACTCACTCTACAAATGTTTACTGCACTGCTGTCAGTCTGGGAGTTGGGAAGGTCGAGGTTCAAGGTTCCTAACTGTGATTAGCTCAGCTGACCGCAAATCAGTATCTGCTTGATGCCCAAGTCCTCGCACCTGCCTCAGGTGCCAGCTGGGACCATTCATTTTGTGTGTTGTTTTGTTTTATCAGCCACTCAGACCAGGAACCAAGAAGGATCAGTAGCCACTTTTTGGAGCCACCCCTAATGTCTTCCTATGTCATAACTCACATAGATTGATCCTTCTTAAAACTATCCCAGATTTTCCTTATTCTGATGAAAAAAGGAAAAACTAAAATTTCTACAAGTTTGTTCCCATCTTCTCTTGCCACTCTGACTTGTATCACTTACATTATCGACTTACTCTTAAAATCATCTAAGCTGGGTGTGGGGTGGTGCACACCTTTAATCCCAGCACTCTGGAGACGGTGGGGGACCTCTGTGAGTTCAAGGCCAGCCTAGTCTACAAAAACTAGTTCCAGGACAGGCTGCAAAGCTACACAGAGAAACCCTGTCTCAAAAAAACAAAAAAAAAAAAAAAAAACAACAAAACAGTACAGCTACCTTATGTACCTTAGTTGCATCAACTCATGGTAGCATTGAGCCTGTCTCAACTAGAAACAATAAACTAAAATTGGCCCTTAACCAAATCTCAAAGTAATACCACTAATATATTATGTGAAGGCTGGAGTTGTTGCTCAGTGGTAGAGAGCTCTTGCTGACCTGGCATTCACCTGGTTCCAAATTAATTCACCAGTCTCCATCACCACTAGCATTAAATAAAATCCCAAGTGAAAATAATAGCAAAAGCCTTAGAATATGAACGGGCTGGTTCTCCCAAGGTGAAGAAATAATTCCTAGTCAGATAACATTTTTCATATACCAACAGTAATCCAAGACTGTAGGTTAATTAGGTCTGTGGTTGACTTTCTTCCTGTAGTTGAGTATTTAATGTCACAAAATACACGGTAATCTTATAAACACAACAATCTGTTGTATAATCAGTTCAGGACCGAGATGAAGACTGATAGGATTAAGAACAAAATATGGAAGAGGAAGACTGATCCATATAAGTATCTCAATGGCCTAAAAGGAAGAGTTGAATGACTATTTGACCAGAACCTTGGAAGCGCTTGTTTTTAAACAAAAAACCCTATTTTCATCGGAGGGAAAACTATGGGTCTGGAGTCAGGATGGAAGGAGGGAGAAGAAGCCAGTTTTTAAAATAAAAGTATCCCTGACATCCCAACCCCGTTCTACAGCGACTCCATGCCTTGAGCATTTGGGACGCCTGTTGCACTTAATAATTGGTGTACAGAACTGCTCCTGGCCAAAGCGCTGAGGACCAAAACTCTATAGAACAGGGAGAGTAACCTGAGTGAACCGCCCTCAACTTCCTCACCACCTTGGGCTCTCCAGCTGACGCCACTGCTGCTCTCATGGGGCACCAAGCTGAGACATAATTGCCCGGAACTATGAGATATCGGAACACCCAGTATCCCGGGACCACTCCAGCACCTGTAGAAGCGCGGGGCTGGTGGCAGATTCGGAGCAGGGTGGGGTGGGGAACGCAAGCAAATCCACCGGAGTTACACTCTTCTCTCAATCTCCCAGCCAAATAAGTGGGTCCCCGGGTCTTGAAAACGTTCGGAGGTTAAAGGCCCGCGAACCTCCAAACCACCCATGTATCTCTTGGATCTGGGCGCGCTCAGTTCTCGGGATAGCGGTGAGCCGGGGCCAGGAGAGTCCACTGACCTGGATGCCTGAGCGCTGCTTCTCTCCTGGAGGCTCAGGTGTGCTGTCGCTCCCGTGTCCCTCTCACCTTCCAACATAAGAGCAGAGAACTCAGCGACAGGCCACTGGCCCAAGGATCAACTGCCAACCAACCAGCCGACCTGCCAGCACCGACCCGGTCCGGCGCCCACGTGACGGCTCGTCCGGGAGAGAGGCTCTCTGGCTGTTGGAGCCTTCCCCTAGGACCGCCCCTCTGTCACCCCGCCTCCCTCTCCCGCTGTGGCCCGCTGGGACCCAAGAGCCACAGTTCCAGTTCCACTTGCTCGTCAGCCCCGCCCCCCAGGCAGCGCTCCGCGTGCGAGTCTCAAGCTCCACCCCTCCCATGAGACCACGCCTCTCCTGGGTCCAACCCGCTGGTTGCACCTCGGACTCTCCCCTAGGCACTTCCCTCCTATCCCACCAACTCAGGTCTCCAGGTCTCCTGAGCTTCTGCAGTCTGTCAGCACTGATCCCAGGACGCACGCACGCCCGCGCGCGAACGCACACAGACACAGACAGACAGACAGACAGACACACACACACACACACACACACACACACACACACACACGCACGCAACCTCTCATGACCTCTAGTGGCTGACAACCTACGAAAAGCTCTGGTGTCCTGTCTCGTGAATAACACTTCCTGTGACCAGCAAGGTCAGGTGCCAGAAAGCCAAAGAAAACTATGGTGGTGCCCTGGAGACGGAGTCCCAGCACCTACCTCCGGTGTGCAAGCCTGTGATTGTATCACAGGTACTTGCCCTACTGGGGCCTCCAGGGGCCGGCTGCTCAGTTTAGCTGCTTAAAATCTCTAGGTCCTCAGAGGGCAAGGACACCAGGGACTCTGGCAGCAGTTGCTCCTAAACTGAATCCATTTGCTTACACCCGAGTGTTGACAAATTCTACAGACATGACTTCTTTTTCCCCCAACCCTGGTCGTCTACAATTACTAGTGTGGCCAGAGGATTGCACATGTGAACAAAGCATAAGCACTCTGACAAACAGGTGTATGAGCAGTGCAGGGACCTGGCCAGCAGCAGAGCAAAGGCAAAGCCAGCGTCGAAAAGCTGGGGCCCCTGAGATGTGTGTTGGTTTTTTCACTTCCTTAAAATAGCTGAGAGGCCTTTGGAGACAGAGCCTGCCTGCACAGTTCACATGAGTTCACGTGCCTTAGTGGGCAGTTCCAAATCCCACGTGCAGCCTAAGGAGGCCCGGTTTCTTGCCCAGGCCCCCAGAAACTGCTCATATTTTCTCAGAAGTATGCAATTATTTTTGCAAAATGTTGCATGAAATTGGCTTTCTCAAACTTAGATCCAGTTGGGGAAGGAGCTTTAAAAAGACAGATGCTTTCCTCCCAGCTCCAGAGGGTCTGGTTTAATGGCATTGGCAAGTATAGGCTGAATAGTAGGGTTCTTAAACCTCCCCAGCTGATTCGCATGTGCTACAATGTACTAACCAGTGATGTGGCTCATGGAGACATCATCAATCCTCATTTCAATCCAGCCAGCCTAGAGCTGAAAAGCATATGTGTGAAAGATACCGAAACAGGTGTTCCAGCGCCTGCATGCTGTTCGGGAAAGTAGCAATGAATAGGTCCTTCCTGGAGAACATTTCTTCACCTAAAAGAAATGTCCTCCCTGTGGGGATTCTGTGTGCCAGGGTGAGCAGTTTGGGATAGGTATATCTTGTAGAGCTGTCAATTCCAAGCACTTCCCAGAGAGAAGCCAGACAGCATGCTACATGCAAACTATTCTCTTGACCTCAAAGGAACCATGTATACAGGACTCCATTCTTTGATAATGCTGCTGCGTATCCTTGAAGGTGAGTAGGTCACTTTCTTTGTAAGGTGGGTAATGTGACTTTACCCATAGAGCAAGTATTGATCCTGGATTCATTCATGGAGTGATTACATCATGTTTATTCTTTCATATCTGCCTTATTGTGCATAAGATTTGGGCTCACAGGGCCATCTCATCAGAACTGTGCGTCATTCCTTTCTGCCAAAGATCTACTTAAATGATATGTGGAGGTGGCGGTGGAGAGGGGGAGGGTCTCCCTTTGCTGCCTGTGATCCCAGCCTGGACTTGGCAAAGGCAGGCAAACAGCTGCAAGCACACAAAGCAAGCCTTCTCATGTGACCAACCTGGGAAGGCAGAGACCTTAGCACATGACACGGGCTGGCACTGCGGCCTCACTTGTGACCTAGACTCAGTCAAATGGACACACATGTGGGAAACACTTTGCAGATGCCCCTCTCAACTACCCTCTGTAATGCCCGGCATGCCTGCTGTGCCAAAGCTGTTTGCCTGCTACCTGGTTTCCATCTAGACAAATATATTTACCAAGGGCCTCCGTGAGTTAGGGAACATTTTACAGTAAGCCCAACACAGATAATCCTGGAAAGCTTTGTGCTGAGGGAATATAGGCAAATATAACCAAATATTTGCTTAACTTCACTTTTATTATCTTTAAAGAAAGAAGAAAGAAGCAGGCAACAGAAAGACAAGATGAGGCTAGAGTTTCCTCCTTACCCTTAGGCTGGTTTTCTGGAGAAAGCAGGCTTTGAAAGACCTATGAGAAGACCTTGTGCTGACATGACAACTGCCTAAGGGGCAAACTATTATTTTTAGGCTGAACTGATGGACATAATGGTTAAGGATAGGTGGGCAAAAGTATATAACTGATCCTTTCTTCCTTGGATGATGGAAAGACTAATATTTGCAATCTTTTCTAGCTCTTACATATTTTAGTTTACTACTTTGAATAACTCACCTGAACTCTCATGTCTGGCTTAGCAACTATAAAGATTTGTACATACCCACAAAGGTTAAAAGAGAATTAAACGATGTTCAAAAGCTTTGTAGCTAGAAAGTGACCTCCTTCTACTAATGGTTTTACTTTGTTACTGTATCCACTTGGCTTGGCAGAAGGGCAAGGCTAGAGGAAATAAACATTAAACATTAATAAGAAATAGTGCTTCCTGGGTGTTATGACCTCGATGTGAAATGAGCTGAACAGGCTCCTGTGTTTGAACATTTGGTTCCTAGCTTGGCGCAGGCCCTGAAGTGAGGCCTGGGCCAGCCATGAGGTTTCTTAGTGCAGCCCCACATCTGGTCTGCTCCTTGCTTCCTGATTTCAGATATAATACGAACAGCTGTCCCATTCCCCTCACTTTCCCGACTACCATGATGGACTATATCCATTGATAAGGTTTCACTCTTCAGCCTTGATTGGCTTGGAACTTACACTGTAGACCAGGTCGACCTCAAACTCACAGAGATCCACCTTCCTCTGCTTCCTGTGTGCTAGGACTGAAGGCGGGCACCCCTGTGCCTGGTTAAAAGCCAGTAAACAAATCTTTTCTCTCTTAATTTGCTTCTTGTCAGGTATTTTGCCATAGCAACAACAAAAGTAATTAATGAAGTTGGGCAATGAAAAAATATTTATAAGCATATGAGAAAGAGGACAGAACCTGAGTGAAAACCAAAGAAGAAATCAGTGAGTATCAGGGTGGCAAGATCCTAATTGCTGAAAGCGGAAAAGAGTCAGAGAAAATGCTGAAAGGCAATTAGGAAAGACTGGGACGAAGTAGATCAGATGAAGGAGGCCTTAGCCCCACCAGATTTGGACGAGGATGGGGTATTCATCAAAACATCAGAATATGGCCTCATCTATGCTCTCAAAAGATTCCCAAGGCAGTGACATTTGGCAAAGGAATAATATGTATTTAAACTTTTAGATGCTATCCCTGTGTCCTTCTAGAGGAATACTACACTGTAAAGGGGTTGTGACCTCAGTATCCTGGAAGAACCGTGGCTCCAACCACACAGCTCTCCCTCCAAACTCCCATCCATTACTTCAGAGGCAGCCTTTTCTTTGTCTGGGGTTTGTAGATGATCTGACTGCCTTCATTCCAGGCATACAGCTGCTTATCTCTGGGGTTGTAATGGATCATGGAGTGACCCCTTGGCCTCCTGGGGAAGAACAAATTAGGCAGATGCTCCTCCCTCACAGTGCCCAGTGGGTCATAGACACAGGTGACACGGTGAGGGCCCTGGCCCCCGGAACTGTAGACCACGTACAGGACTCCACATAGGAGGAACGAAGCTTCCGCATCCTGGTTTCTGCACGGCGTGTCCCATGAGTGCTCTACTCCCAAAGTGTCCGGCTCAATTTTTGTGAGAACCAAATGGCCTTGGATACCCGGTCCTGAGTGGATGGCCCAGAGACCATGTTCATCCACAGCAAGGTCAATGTAGGTGGATAGGGAGTGTTGATAGATGGGTGCTCGGCCTGCCCCTCCTGGGAGAAGCATTCGATCCTCCACAGTCTTCTTCTGCAGATTATATTTAATTATCTCATTAGAAGTTCCTTGATTGTGAAAAAATAGAAAGCCTTTGTAGACCACTTGTCCTGTTCCCTGCCAGGAAAGTGGTAAGATTAGCTTCCGGGGGCCAGACTTGGTGCTGTCTTCCATGAATGCCCGCAAGTTTGCAAATTCCCAAACTGTGTTGTTTCTGGATCCAATTAATAAATACACCTTTGCAGAGTTACCACCAGCATCTTTCATCCAAGAGCCATCTGGGTCCATAATCTTCTTCACTATTTTCAGAGACTTTATACTCATCAACATGTTGTCACAGCCTAGCCAGACAGGAGAAAAGGAACAGGTTATGTGTGAACATGAACCGTCTACCTTCTAGAAGACTCACCACACCTGAAGAACCCTGATTCCCTTCGCATCTAATACTAGTAGAGAATATGCTCTCCTCTCTGCTATGATACCATTGTCTCTAGCAGAAGAGGTTCCCTCGGAGAATCCTAGAGCAAAAATGGAAAACAGACATAAACTCCTTTGAAAAATTAAACACTGTTAACATGAACTCCCTCCATTTCCTGTCCTTTAATTGTAGAAGAATCTTCTTAGAAGAAGCTGTGTTGGGGCTGCAGAGATGGCTCAACAGTTAAGAGTACTGGCTGCTCTTCCAGAGGACCTGAGTTCAATTCCTAGCACCCACATAGCAGCTCACAATTGTCTATAAATCCAGTTCGAGAGGATCTGACACCTTCACACCAATGCACATAAAATAAAGTTAAATAAATCATAAATATATATTTTACAAAAGAAGAAACTGTGTAATTTCTCCTTTCCAGGAACAATATAATCATTGTACTTTGATTACATTCTATCCTAGATTCTAGATTCTTTTTTAAAATTATTTATTTTATTTTATTGGTGTTTTAGCCTATATGTATATCTGTGTGAGGGTGCTGAATCCTGGAGTTACAGATAGTTGTAAGCTGCTATGTGGGTGCTGGGAATTGAACCTGGGTCCTCTAGAAGAGCAGTCAGTGCTCTTAACCACTGAACCATCTCTCCAGTCCCAACTTCTAGATTCTTCAATCATCTTATAATATTTAATTTTTTTTCATAACTAGCCCCTTAGTCTTAACTTATATGCATCTTGCATATTATTATTTTTAAATCTCATGGTTGAACACGGCGTGTATGCTCAGCACTCTGGAGGCAGATGTCGGCAGCTCTCGGTGATTCTGAAACCAGTTTGGTTTAGATAGTAGTTCCAGACCAGCCAAGGCTACATAGTAAGATCCTGTCTTAATAATAAATAAATATCTCCAATTAGTTAATCTCTGGATATTTTCTTACATTTCCTAACATTTCATCCTTAGCTTCTCCCACAGAAGTCTATATTTTCCATATTTGCTTTCTCACCTCCCACTCTTACTGCACAACATAATCTGTTCCTGGTAATGCTACCAAAGAGCTCCTAAATGAAAATTCCTGCCACTCTGTTATGTGGGCATGTGAATTCATCTTCTGTAGTATAACAGCATTGGTCAGTTCCTCCTCCTCGAAGATGCTTTCTCTCCCATCTTTGTTTCTGTGTGTTTCTCCGGTTTCTCATCCGACAGTGTGGCCGAGACCGTGATCAGTGCTCCTCCAATTCCATTTCGGTTCACTGCACATGAAGCAACACTTCACAGTCTCTTTTGTGGTTAATCTGCACACACTGATTTGTTTTGTCTGGTGGAATATAGACAGGGGTGGGATAAGCTTTCTCCACCTTGCCTTTTAGTATGCCATCTTCCAGATGACCTTAGCCCCTTGGAATCATCACTGTGACCATGTTCAAGAGGTCAGCACTACTGGTCATTTCAGGAAAAGTAGGTCATCAGTTCTAATTTGGGATTTTTTTTGATAGATCACAGTAAATGCAGCCAAGAGCTCATGGTTATGGAGCTCACAGGCCATAGGGGTGAACCTATTATTATTATTTTGCTAAATGGATATAGATTCAAACTGCCTTCTAAGCTGATATCTCTATACTCAACCATTAATGCAGCTCTCAGACGTCATCAGAGTGGATTCTTTGTGCAGAAGAAGACAGTGAATTTACAACAGGTCAATGTGCAGAATGTAAGTGTCTGGAGAGTGCTCAGTGGTGAAGGGGACAACCATTTTATACTCCCTCCCCTCAGTGCTCAGGGACTACCACAGAAGAGGGTCCAGAAAGATTACAAGAGCCAGGGGTCAGGGAGGCCTGGAAGAAAACCTTATCATCAGGACTGGACAGGGCAGTTGCACTCACTCTCTCTACATAAGATCAATCGGATCAATATCCCAGCTGTGGTGGTGGGGAGGGTGCTTAGGGTCAAGAACTACATCCCTAGCTGGAGAGCTATTGATAGTTGATGGTATCTAGGGGAGGGAATGCCAGTTTTCTTTATGGGTGTGATTCCTAGTAGGTTCACTCATGCTCCAGTGATAGCCCTATATCCATGAGCACATGGGCAGTACAAAACGGAGGTGGTAGGTTATAACTTTAAAAGGACATAAGAAGGTGGTTAGGGAGTATGTCTTGAGTTGAGATGGGGAGAGTTGGGAATAATAGAAGTGAAAATGAACAAAATGCATTAAATAAATAATTTATTTATTTATTAAATAATTATTAAATTAAATTAAAATAGTATTAAAATTAATTAAAATTTTAATCTAATTTATTCTAGTAGATGTTTTTGAAAAGTTTAATAAAAATATTCAACTCTATATCTTAGCACCTACTCTTCCCCTGGAAACCATGAATCATAATTTCTGTGTAGATAACTACAAATGTGTCGGATGTGTCTCCCTGATTTTACTCTTGCTTGGTATCTACATGCGCTTTCCACAAAGCGGTAAGAGAGATCAGACATGTTAAACTTTTTCTCCTTCTCCATCACACTTAGAATAGATAGCATTCTAATCCCGTAGCCTGGCCTATAAGACTGGGCAATGTGGCCCTTCCTTTGTGGCTCATTGTGTTGTGATTACATAGTTTTCTTTATGTTCTATGACTGTGCCAAATTTATTTATTTTTGCCTCAGAAATCTTGCACTTAGAATTCGTCTACCTGAAACACTCTTTTCCTTGAACTTTGCACAGTGGATTGGCTCCCATTCATTCTTTTTTTTTTTTTTTTTTTTTTTTTTTTTGGTTATTATTTTTTTTTTTTTTTTTTTTTTTTTTTTTTTTTGGGTTTTTCGAGACAGGGTTTCTCTGTGGCTTTGGAGCCTGTCCTGGAACTAGCTCTGTAGACCAGGCTGGTCTCGAACTCACAGAGATCCGCCTGCCTCTGCCTCCTGAGTGCTGGGATTAAAGGCGTGCGCCACCACCGCCCAGCCCTCCCATTCATTCTTTAATCCCATGCATACCCCCAACTCACTATGTAGCACAGGATGGTCTAAGACTCAAAAGTACTAGGATTGTATGTCTACACCACCATATCTGGCCAAGTTTCACTTCCAATATTATTTCCTTAATGCGCTTCTTCTTTCCTTGAAATCACTCAGTCCACTGTTAACTGTTTTATCTGTTTCTTTACTAACTTACTGTCTACCCCCCTCACAGAACTCCAACAACAACAAAAAAAAAAAAAACAAAAAAAAACAAAAAAGAAGCAGGGCCTTAATTTTCACGTTTAGTATTGTACCTGAAGGCCTAATTCAATGCTTTGAGGATTCACTACATGGCAGTTGAGTGAAGAAAATAAAAATCTCAGATGTTTTGCTGGGTCTAAACAGTCTAGCACTTCTGGGTTCTGACCGCAGACCCATCTTAAGTAAATAATCATTCACAAAGCACTTCAAAGCTTTTAAGATACTTTCAAATCCATTATTTCATTAAAAAAAATGGATCCCAGTTTTTCTGAAGAGAATACATGAAATGGAGAACAGGCTTAGCTGGACAAAGTCAAATCCTGGGAAGTCAGCTCTTTAGGTAGAGGCACAATGGCCTCACCTGGCTCATACTAAGATGGAGGACAGATTTGGAGGAGAGCTACCAGGAGCTCTCTTAGCTGCCAGCAGCTGCCATGTCCTACTAACAAGCTCCGACAGCATGATGGCTTGCTGTCGTGTGTCAACATTGTCATGGGTGACCTGACTATAGGAAGCTCGACACAGGAAAGGCATCCAGGGACTATAAACATCTCAGGAGCACATGGCACAAGGAGCCTCTGCTGTACTGAGCTATTGGGGGCAGAGGGAATGTGTGGAAGAAGTGGAACAGCTACTCTGACTCCCAGGGTGCCATCTCTACTTGAACACAGCTGGACCTGGCTGAGGTGAAGCTCTTCCCTGATCCTGGGCTGACCACTGAAGAGAAGTAGGTGAGACTTTAAGCTCTTAAATAACCATAGGATGAATGTCCAGGGGAGAGCAAGGATGGTCTGTGGGTCCCTAAAGATTCACATAAGATATTCCATGTTAAAGAACAAGTCCAAGGATTGAGTGGATTATTAAATATGTTACAAATACATAGAATCCATTTGGTACTGTACTGGATAACTTTATAATAATTTATGTGATTCTTATAGTAAGTAGCCATGACATATATTTTAATCACTAGTTTCCAAGTGAAGAAAGTTAAGGATTACATTGGCTTCTTGGAAAGATCACACAGCTAGCCAGTGATGAAGGGTTCTTCTGAACTCAGAGCTGGGAGCCAGGACACTCCCAGGCAGCCTCAGATGCAGAGTAGTGTGTGTGGTAGGAAGGGTTGGGAACTGTGTGTACTGGTGTGCCCAGAGAAAAACCAGTAAAGGCAATGGGCTCTCAAGTGTGATAGGACATCTACTTCTAGTAGATGGCCCTCACAATGCCTGCCCCTCCTTCCAGGGAAGAACAGACTTGAAACTAAGCTATGTAAGGACTGTGTCTTAGAATGAAGAACATGTGTCTCTTAAGAAAACATCTTTGTTGGTTCCCTGCTTGGTGACATCTGGGCCTGAGCTGATATCAAGGGCCATTTCTGGGTCTGTGGCCATGCTGCATCTGGGGCCTCTGTTGATATCCGTGTCTCCTGTTATCATGGAAGGCCATGCAGATGACACCTGAGGCCATGTTGGTGTCTAAGGTCCATGATGCCCCTGGAGCCTTGCTGATCTGGGTGGCCTGAGCTACGACTGGGGTAGCACTATTACCATGGTGAAGAATGGGCCCAAGCTGCTGCCAAAGGCCATGTCTGAGTCCCTGGTTCTGCTGCAACAGGGATGGGGGCATGAAGGGTATCTGTGTTGATGCCAGTTGCCCATGTTACCACAGAGGCACATGTGAACCATGTGTGTTGACATCCAAGGGTCATG